TAATGATGTTTCGTCTCGGGGTTAGTTGGGGTCGGAATTCCTCATGAATTCCGATAACGGGGTTTGGGGGAGGTGCCGGTCCTTCAGGAGCTTTCTCCAAATAAAAAGGCAATTATATTAAATAATTCAATAAATTTTATTGAATTATGTGAATTAATGTAAATATATATAATATTTGTGAAAATATGTAGCACTAAGGAACACACTCACCAAAAGATGTTGCTGCTGTGGCTGTTGAAGAAAAAAGAGGCGGAAGACCGGTGGAGCTGGTCTTTTAAAGAATTCCACAGAAGGTGGAAATCAGAAACGGGGTTAACAGGACTCTTCCCATAACTTTGAAGAGTCATGTATTAACGAAAAACAGCAGCGCCATCTGTTGGTGAATGTTATGGCGGCTGCCCAAGGTTGCACGCACAAACATGCCGCCCGCCTTGCAGCAACACTGCAAAAAAATAATCTCACAATTTTTTAAAACTACAATTCATTGTTGTTTATATTAAAGTTTCAAGACTTAATTTAAATACAATTTTAAAATTCAAAAATACATTTTTTCATTTTTGACTTAACACTAAATTTTCTGCCTCCATCGCTGCCGTCTATTATGGTGTACAACCAGATCCCATCCAAATATGGTGTTCTGGGCAGCCGGTCGAGTCGGGGTTGCTGGCATAAGTCCTGGCCGCAATATCATACCGTATACATCGGCACCGAGAATTAGTGGCACCGCACTGGACCTGTAAAACGTTGGGTCTTCCAACCGCAAATTGTCGAACTCGTCGACAACCCTTGCGTCCAATGTGCGTGCCGGCGTGGTCTTCATGGGACTTGTCACTACCTTGGCGGTCAGACTAATCCGATCCCGCCAACCTTTCAATGTTAGGTCTATGCTTACTGCATATTCGCGTGGCAGCAGGTGCAATCGTCTCGCCAGAGTTCTGGATATCGACGACCGCGATTGCCCTGGGTCGATCAGTGCACGGACCGGGTGTCCTCGGCCACTTGCACCACTCTCACCATCACAGTTGGCGTGAGGACAGACATGCCCAATGCACTCCGAGCGGGTCCTTTGATTCGCTCGCGGGCGTCTCTCACCGCCTGAGGTCGCCTTTGTGGTTTGTTGTTACGCCTGCTTGATGAGACACTTCTATCTTCCGATGGTGGGTGTGGCCGCTGAACCACGGACCGTACACTCGACAGAGGCGGTCTGAGTAACGAGGGGTTTGGTGTGCTGGCCTTTTCATTGGGAAGTTGTTCCACCACTTCATCGTCACTGGCGTCGATCTCCAGAACCTCGTCATCGCTGGAGCCATCTGGCAAGGCTTGGGCCCAGTAAGGACAGTGCCGTCTCTTACTCCGGTGATCTATCACGTCTCCGACCGGCGGAACGTCTTCCTCGCTTCTATCTGTCTCCCACAGATGCAGGAGACTGTGGTGCCTCTCCGAACAGCGGTCGCAGTTCCTCGTGGATGGACAGTTGTTGGCCATGTGATTCGGAGACAAACAGTTAGCGCAATGCCGATGGAGGAGGACAGCCCTCAGTCTCTCCGCAGGCTCCAGTCGACGCATCTGTCGGCAGAACAGCAACCGGTGATTGTGGTTGCATACAGGGCACCGATGTTGTTCCTTAAGTTGTTGTTTGCTGTTGTTGTTGGCACGTACCATGTTGAAAATCTCTGGAATTATAGATATCATTAGTGTTTTTTACGACGGGAAGCATAATTAATTTCACAATGGGACGTGTAATTATACCTCGCGTCGTAAGTAGATCTACCACTCTAACTCTGTTATCGTGACCTAAGAAAACCCTAACCACTCTGCCAAGTCGCCACTCGTAGATTGTCCTCTTTGACAACTACGAAATCGTCAACCTCTAGGTTTCGGTGAGGAAACTGCCATTTTACTCTCTTGTGCAGTTCCTTTAGATACTCAACCTTCCATCGCTGACAGAATGCTTTGGTGAAGTGTTTTCAGTTTCTGCCATCGGTTGATGATTGTCATCGGGTTTCCGCTGATTTCGGGCTCAGCGATCGCAAGCAGCGGACTTCCAATTAGAAAATGTCCCGGGGTTAGAGGTTCAATTGACTTATTATCGGAGAGTGGACTAATTGGACGAGAGTTGAGGCAGGCTTCGATTTTGCCAGTAACGTCGAAAATTCCTCCATTGTAAAGCGCATTGCACTTGCTACTCTTCGAAAGTGCGTTTTGAAGCTCTTCACTCCTGCCTCCCATATTCCTCCCATGTGAGGAGCCCCTGGAGGCATGAAGTGCCAGTTGACTTCCTCATGCGCATATGACCGCATGGTGAGTTGAGACGCTTCAGTCATGAATTTCCTGAAATCATGCTTCAACGCCTTGTTGGCTCCAACGAAGTTCGTGCCGTTGTCCGAATACATATGAAGCGGACAACCACGTCTTGCTACAAATCTCGCGAACGCAGCCAGAAAAGTGGACGTCGATAAGTCGCTCGTCGCCTTCAGATGAATCGCCTTTGTAGCGAAACACACAAATACGCAGACGTATCCTTTCCTTATTAGACATGCTCGGCCTGTGTAGTTTTTAATGTCAAACGGGCCCGTGAAATCCACGCCAGTAATAGTAAAGGGTCTGGATACCTCCGTTCTTTCCGGTGGAAGCGCAGCCATTCATTGTTCTCGTGTCCTTTTCCTATGAATGAGACAAACTCTACAATTATTAATAACCATTTTTATTAAATTCTTTAACTGTACTTCCCAATATTCTGACCTCATGAGTCTCAGCATGAGCTGATTTCCACCATGTAATGAAATCAGGTGTGAGAATTTGACAAGAAGTCGAGAAAATTGGCGATCATACGGTAAGATTGTCGGGTTTCGTTCGTTGTACGATAGCGACGCTAGCGCTAGTCGACCGCCTACTCTCATGATTCCGTTCTTATCAAGAAATGGATTGAGAGTGCGAATGGAGCTCTTAGCGCTCACTGAGTTTGCTGACGCTAGTGCATCGTATTCATCCGCAAGAAAACGCTTTTGGGTCAATAGAATTAATCGCGTTTTTACATCTCGAATTTCATCTGCTGTAATCTCCGCAGATTCGTGCTGATTTAATAATTTAAATACCGGATGTATTTTCCTACTACCCTCAACGCGCGTGAAAAGTCAGAGAACCGTTCCAAGATGTCTTCTCCGTCTATGATTCGTGCTGCGTGAGTCCTGACGCCTTTCTGCTCCAGCTCCGTGTGCAGTGGCTCACTCTGCCTCTGAGGCCACGCAGACGGTTGCTTCTTTAACCAGCTGGGACCGTGCCACCACAAAGTGCTCTCCGCTAGTTCTTGGGGGGATACGCCGCGGCTACCAAGATCTGCTGGATTTTCCTTTGAATTCACGTGATTCCAACCAGTCGATCCAACGAGTTCCTCGATCATCGAGACTATTCGCCATTAAGGTAGTCCAACAGCACGGGGGTTTCTGCAGCCATGAGAGCACAATAGTGGAGTCTGTCCATTTGTAGACCACTGGTTGAGCAACATTGAACTTTGGAAGTAAAGCGTTAATTAATTCTGCCAGGAGAAGTGCCTCACATAACTCTAACCGTGGTAGAGAAATTGTTTTTACTGGCGCTAATTATGTCTTGCTTACCAGCAGATTTACGTTTGGAGCGATACTTGAATTTCGTTCCCGGACTCTTACATATAATGCCGCAGCATACGCCTTCTCGGAAGCATCACAAAATCCATAAAATTCAATTTCACTCTATGGGGTATACCTAACCCACCTTGGAATTCTGATTTAGAAATGTGAACATAGTTTTTTTAGAAAATTCTCCCATCTCACGTAAATGCTTCTTGGTATGTTGTCATCCCAGTCTACCTTAGTCAGCCAAATGTCCTGCATCAGGATTTTTGCCTCTATGACGATTGGTCCTAACCAACCAGCGGGATCGAATAGTTTTGCTACACACGATAATACCTCTCTCTTGGTGTAGCCTGGTTTTATGTGCATCTCCTGGACGTTGAAATGAAACCTATCTTGTGCAGCGTTCCATCTGATGCCTAACATCCTTGCCTCGCTTACGTCGTCAATCTCCAAAAGGTCTTCCTTGAGAAGATGCTCCTTTGGTATGTCGACTAAAATATCCTTGGAGTTTGAGGTCCACTTTCGTAGGAGAAATCCTGCACCATTGAGTGCCTCGACCAGTTCATTTCGTGTACGAATAGCTATCTCGCAATCATGTGCGCCTGCGAGGACGTCATCAACATACATATGTTGCTACAAAACCCTAGATACTAAAGAGTATTTTAGGTTTATGTCCTCTGCCAGCTGCAATAACGTCCTTATCGCTAGGTATGGGGCACAGTCAACTCCGAAAGTCACAGTTTGGAGTTCATAGTCCACAATCTTCTCTTCGGATGATTCCCTAAAAAGTATCCTATGAAACCTAGCGTCATTTGGATATAGTAGGACTTGCCGATACATCTTCTCAATATCTGCGTTGAATACATACTTGAAAAATCTCCATTTAAGTAGCAACGCAATGAGATCGGCTTGGAGAACTGGACCAGGATGTAGTACATCGCTTAAACTTACCCCATTAGATGTTGGGTTAGATGCATTAAACACTACTCGAACCTTTGTAGTAGTGCTGTCGGATTTTATTACTGCATGATGGGACAGATAATATGACCCTGGTCCTTTGTTTCCAAGGCTGCCGTCTACTGGCTCTATATGACCGAGAGTTATATATTCCCGGAGTACCCGATGGTATTCTACCCTGAGCTGCGGCTTTCGTACCATGGCCGCTTCATTTCTTAAGAATTGCTGCAATGCACCGGTCCGTGAATATCCAAGATTTATGTCTGCTGGGAATTCCTGTCGAAACGGAAGAGTCACCATATATTTCCCATTTTCTGTTCTGGTAGTTGTATTTACATACTGCTGCTCGCAGGATGTTTCCTGAGGAGTGATCTGTTTTTTACTTGGGACTTGTTCTAGCTCCCAAAACTGAGTGAGCTCAGAGCTCGAAATTTCGGTGTACATAGAGACATTTGCTCGTGGGATCATATTGGGGGGATGAGGGGTTGGACCTGTTAAGATCCAACCGAGGACTGTCTCCTGCGCCAGAAGAGAGCCTAAAACGTTTGTCTTAACGTTTCCCATCATTATTTGCGGATACAAGTCCGCACCAATTACCAAGTCAACCTGCTGACTTTTATTAAAGTTGGCATCGGCCAAGTGAATTGGGGGCAGTAGGCCAAAATCTACTTGTTCTACTGAAAACTGGGGGAGGTTTCCTGTCAGTTGGGGGAGAATCAGACCTCTTGCCTCAATTCTAAACTGGGGGTTAACAGGAGAACCTAAAACAAATGATGCGACTTCCCGCACCTTGGCCGATGTTGACGCATTAATACCGCATATCTGCATGTCAGATGGTTGAGTAGGTAATTTGCAACCGCTTCGTGATAAATGTACCTTCTGATCCCGAATCAAGAAGGGCTCTTGCTTCATAGTTCATTCCAGAGTAGCAGATATGCACCATCGCCGTGCCTAATATGACATTTTTCGCATTTTTTGCGAAAAGTGTGTTGACATTCCTCGATGTGGATAGGGGTTGTTCAGGCCTAGTCTCCGTATTTTCTAATGCTGGCCTATTATTTTGAGTCGGGGGATGATTCCCAGTTGGATTCCGATGCAGCAGTGAGTGATGTCGTTGATGGCAGTTTAAGCAGCTAAATGTGCTCTTGCAATCTCTGGATAGGTGCGAATGTGCTAAGCAATTCATACACAAATTAAATTTTCTAGCGTTTTTGACACGATCGTCAACTTTCATAGCTAGAAATTTTGGACATGCTTTTAACACATGAATTTGCTGTGGGCACAGCCTGCAGGCAGGTTGTGAAAACTGAGCATGATGAGTTGATACCCTTTTCCCAAACGCTGGTGCTGGAGCGCGACTTTGCACTGTTCTTGACACTCTAGTACTTTGAATGTCCGAAACCGTTTCCAGCGTCTGAAATCTATTTGTCAAAAAATTATCCAGTTCCTCCCACCCCGGAATTTCGGCCTTCTGCACGATTTCTTGCTCCCATAGAGCTAATGTGGTGTCCGGCAACCTACTGGAAACTAAAAAGACAAAAATTGCATCCCAGTTGCTTATCTCGATTCCATACATCTGCAACACTGAGATACAATTGTTTACTGCTCGTTGCAAACTCTTTATTTCCGCGCCGCGTTCGACAGTCACAGTGGGTAAGTTGAACAACGTTTTCAGCTGACTGTTTACCATCACCCTTTTGTTTTCATATCGCTCCGACAAGTTCCGCCACGCGGTTATGAAACCATCATTCGTCAATGGAGATTTCTTCACGATGTTCTTTGCTTCCCTACGAGTCTTATGGTTTAGATGGTATAATTTCTCAACCGGTGTCAGTCGAGAATTATTTATATAGATGGCTGTGAATAAATCGCGGAACGTTGGCCATGCCATGTAATCACCATAAAAAATTTCAGTGTCACATGGAGGGAGATTCATACTAGAGCGTAGAACCGGTTCAGGTTCCCGCGCTGCAGGGTTAACCGTTGATGAGCTTTGTTGGAGAAAAGTCAGGTTGTGCATGGTGTCGCCCATCAGTGCTGCACATGTCAGGTATGCTGAATAGCAATCCTGATACCTGGTCTTCGCTGAGCTCATGGCTATGCTACCCGCTTCATCTGCCGATAAATTCCTCGAATATACATCGAATGACTCCTTCACTTTCATCCACAACGCCTTCAGTTCTTCCTTTTGTATTTCCAGCGAAAAAACTGAGTGATTTGCACTTGGAGTGTTGTTGTACAACTCTTCAAACTCTAACAGTGCATCACAGGCGCAGAGAAAATCATTACCATGAGTCATTATTAATTTTTAGTCGAAATAGATTTTAAAGAAGTGATTATTTATCGGAACGTATCCGTCAGTCCGCCACAGCTGATACTCGTTGTACCAGTGCGTAATTTAAAAGATTTAAAAAAAAAAAACAGTTGAATGAAAAATTAAAAAAAAAAACAGTTGAATGAAAAATTAAATTTTAAAAAGTTTTGTAAGGATCCAATATTCTCCTACTTCAAGCGTTGGGCCCTTTGTGTGGGCGCTGTTGAAATCGTTGGGCGGTTGGAGTAGGCCTTGTCGCTATATTAGGGTGGGTCAACTGCCCAGAAATTTTATATACAATACAAAATAAAATAAAGATATATATATATATATTTTTTTTTTTTTTTATAAAACTTTGAGATGCAGAAACGCGTTAGTATATACGTGTGAACTTGATCCTTCCGCTGTACCAGTTCGTTCTCGTATGTAAAACCCAAACCGAAATTAATTCGCACGGGAATCGAATTTTTTTTTGTAAAATATTAATTGGCTCCACTTGGTACTTCCGTTGTACCAGTTCGCCAACGGATGTAAAAAAAACCAAACCGAAAGTAATTCGCACGAGAATTAAAATTTTTTCCAAAAATAATTGAAAAACTGACGACTCACCTGGACCTGTTGCACAGCGTTGGTCTTTGGTGGTGACCTTGCCGCAAATGTTGGGCCTCAGTAGGCCTTGCCGCAAACGTTGGGCCTTAGTAGGCCTTGCGCAAACGTTGGGCCTTAGTAGGCCTTGCCGCAGATGTTAAGGCTCCGGAGGCCTTGCCGCAAGCAATGGGCCTTTGGTGCTCACTCACTACACTTCAC